TAGCTAGGTGAACTCCCACTCTGATCCAGCTACCCCTCTTGCCTAGCATCATAACTTAAATCTTTTTTAATTATTTAAATAAGTCATTTTTAACTTTTGTACAGATAATATCTTTTAAAATTTTGAAATTAAAATCAAATGAAAAGTTTTTTGAAAAAAAAAAAAAAAGAAGCTAAAGTTAAATAAAAGACTTTAAAAAAAAAGATATAAATAATAAAGCACACCTAGAAAAGAGGAAAGAAATGAAGGAAAAGACTCAATCGTTTAGAAATTGGAAAATGAAAAGCGTTTAAGCACGAAACAAGGCGTTTTACTAAAGTTTTGAGTTTAGACGCCGCTTAGACGAATTTTTTAGAAATATATATATATATATACATGTATTCTAAAAAATTCGTCTAAGCGGCGCACACACACATTATGGTCTATGTAATTTACACGTGGCATTTAGTTATTTTAAAAATGTTTTTCTGTATATGTAACTTGCATTGATATATATGGAATTCATAGAATTAGGTTCGACTCTACTCGATAGAGATTATCAAATAATTTTGAGAATCAATTTTTAGCACAATTTATATTTTCAATTACATTATTATTCAAATTAAAATGGATAAGTGTTGGTGAAGTTACTCAAATAATTCATCAAAGTATGCCAAACAATTTTTCTCCGTGTTTTAGTTAAATTTTTAGATAAAAAAACAAACAAGTTAGAAATAAGTGAATCGTGAATGGACTCTAAACTCGTATTTATTATATTATTTGTCTTCGAGGTTCTCTCGCGATTTTGCCATAAAAAATGTGATGCAAGCTATCATCACTTTATTTTTTCACCCGAGCGTCAAATGATATCACTCAATTGCCAACAAAGTACTCGACGAGGCCTTTATTCAAAAGTCACATAGACAGAAAACATAAATGATATGCAATGTAAATATCAAAGTATACGTGAATAAATAAGGTTTATTTTTTATCCTTCGATAAGCCAAAGATAGTCAGATTCTTAAAACAATTGAATCAAATGGATCTCATACCAAAAAAACTGATACTTTGAAATTAATTCAAAGTAGAACATAGGACTATATACTATTAAGATTTGGGGGTCCATCTTAAAAGGTTAACCTTATTAAGAGGAATAGCCCAAGATCTTTATTAATTGGTCCGTGTCAACATCTTTATTCGATGTGGGATTATATCCCTTAACACGCCCCCACAAGATGGTGGCTCATTTGAGCAGACCAATCTTGAAATCCACGTGCTCACTTTTTGGAGTCTTACCGGGATCGAATCGCTCGT